TCTCTTCTCTCGAATCTGTTGGAGCTTGCAAAGTACCACTAACATAACTCCACATCTCTTTCCCCAACAAGAAATTCTTCATAACATAAGACCAGTATACATTATTGTCACCATTTAATCTGACACTAATAGCCTGAAGTGAATCAGAATGTCTACTTGTCATAATATGAACAAAGAGTCAATCCTCCCAACAAAATAATACCCAAAATAAAGTAGAAAGTAACAATAGAACTATTCTCAAATTTAACCACAGAATATCAATCACAAAGCAGTCAAGCACAGTAGAGAAACCAAAACAGTCGATGCACAACCAAAGCCAAGAAGTCAAAGGAGCAAGAAACCAGATGAGCCCAAGCTCAGAAATCGGACCACAACGAACAGCCGCTACACTGTGAAGATGATAACAGCCAAGGTAGACCATCGACCAACCCCAAATCACACAAATCTCATCCCGAATCAACTAAGATCAGCCCAAAACACACAAATCTCATCCCTAATCAACTAAACTACCTTAGTCGCACCTCTTGGTTGATTAGAACCAAAAATAATTTTGGCTGACGGTGCCGAGTATAGCCGATCGAAAAATCTAGACGTATTTTCCCAAAAATATTTAAAAATTAGTAACCCTTACCAGGTGAACTCGAACCAAGAAGAGAAGCCCACCAGAGAGAAGCCCATGAGGAGTCGATCATGATGGTAGGATCCACGGTCAGAGACTGATGACATCATCATGACGTTATCGCCGACGATGATGACGTTAATAGCTGTTTCATGTCGGGTCCACCAGGTCTGGACATCGGACATCGGGTTCACCAATTCTATTTCCAAATTTCAATCAAGAATTATTATTTCGGTTTAGGGATCCTAGCTTTGATACCATGTTAATGAAAAAGGAAAATATGTTTATTCACAGTCATCAATATGTATTACAAACGCATAACTAAAATACACAATGTAGACCCTTATATATTAGGGCAACTAAAATAATGTAAACTACCTAAACTACCCATAATATAAATACTCTAACATTTTCTATCACCAAGAAGATTTCTTAGTAATAACAAAGGGTTACACGAAGGACAAGAAGCCTTCCAATGTGCAAAGGATTAAAAAAAAATAAACATGCAACAAGAAATGAGAAAAAATAGCCAGAAGTTGCATTTCACAACCGGATATCCATTGCGCTCTAGTTAGGGACAAATGGATTCCCAAAAATGGGGAGATACCGAAACCCAAAAAGAATCCAAGAATCAAACTTTTTCCATACATTGCCCTGCTCATCACTTCTATCATAAACAAAATTTTCATTTCTTTCTAGATCTACGACCCAAAAAACTCACCAGCACTTCTCGGGTGGCCATACCATACAATTGCCTCATGGGAGAATTCCATAACCCTTCACGCTATGAAGTAAAAGCATAGAGAAACCTTAATCTGATGGCTTGCAAGCCTATACGTTTTAACTTTGGCGTAATTATAAAATCAACACAATCCTTCAACTGATCAATCATGTTCTTCACCGTCATCATAGCATCTTGAATCATTCTCTCGAGTTCTGACCTTGGTTTGACAGGTTAGAAAACAGTTACACATAGTCCTGTACAAATCTTGACTCACAGTATTCATGTTATTTTATGTGGAAACTCCACCTAACCCTGATAACGTGGGTCCCAGAAATAAGCTGATAAGAGTTAGTTTTCTCATTGGCAATAGAGGAGTGGAGATATTGCAATTCCATGACATTAGTTCTTGAGCGCATGGCATTAGTACCCTCTTAATAAAATCATTCCTAGACTTACATTCTACGAAGAAACATACAAAATATTGATTTTTCCATTCCAGTCAACGTGAACAGCATTTCAAAAGCCTCGCCTACAATAACTGTGACTTTATAGCCTTAATCTCACTTGATTTCTTCCCTATATTCTACCTGTGTAAGGCATGCAGTTTCTGTAGCCAAGAAATGTTTGGCCTTTGTATCCATCATTGCCTACAAACGGTTGTTATATGCATCAGCCTTTTGAACTGCTACTTACATGAAGCGGCCACTTTGAGCAGCATGTATATTCATTGACCTAGACGGCTAGACTAATTATGTGGAGAGGAATATGAGTGGTGGTGTTGTCAATAGGTGACATAGTGTCACCTAATTAATTGTCTGTTGCCGTCATGATGAGGTATGAGTAATGTTGTGAAAAGCAAACCTAAGCGAAACAAGGCGACTCTATGTCGCCTTGAACATGCAAAGCAAAACGAATGTAGGCAAGGTGAGAGAAAAGTGAACAGAAGCAAAGAAGTGAAAAAAGAAAATAAGTGATCGCTTTAGTGAACTTTTAAATTCCTCATCCTCTAATTCTTCTTCTCCTTTTCTAATTCTTACCCTCTTCTTCTGATTTTCTGGTTCTGCTGGACCTTCCTCCTCCTCTTCTACTCTGTTTTTGTTTTTTTTTTTTTGTTGTGCTACTATAGTGCTGATTCTACTTCCTCCTCTTCTACTCTGTTTCAGTTTTTTTTCCTACTGATTCTGCTGTATTGCTGATTCTGTTTTTAGTTTTGCTGGAACCTCCCCCTCTGCTTCTGGTTCTGCTTTTATGCAGTTATGCTTAAACTGATTTTCTGCGTTCTTATTCTAGTTTTCTGCTTTGTTACGCTGGTTTTCTGCACTAGTGGTTTAGACTGATTCAGTTGTGTTTTTTTTTAGACTACTCCTGTTTCATTTTGCTGTTTTGTTATGCTTAGTTCAATTGATTCTCTCGAAAAAGACTGATTTAGGAGAAAGCCATATAATTTTTATTGTTGCTTCCTATTTGGAATGAAAAGAATTTCATCTGTGGTGGTTGGGTACTAATGATCAGATTTTTCATCTGCGATGGTTTAGACGCAAAATATTTGTTTTTTTTTTTATTGTTCGCTTTGCTTTGATGAAGCGCTCATTTCACCCCTCACTTCTCGGTTAGGCCTCCGGAGACTTGTTCGCTTCAGTTCGCTTCATGCATTAAATAGCACTGGGTGATAAGCTTTTCCTGCATGACTTGAAGGGAATATTGATAACATGCAGAGAAAGCTATTTCACATATTCGCAGCCTTCTCTGGTCCAGCTGTACATATTATCACTCAAATCTGTTTGACTTAGTACTACCCGATGCTTGCTTGATTATGTCCCCTTGCCAGAAAGTTATCCGTTGTATTCTTTCTCAATTCTACTTGTTGGACTAACTGAATTAACATTTCCGTTCAACTAAACTTCCGACCATCATCCCCAAAGCAAGAAGCCAACCAAAAAGGGGAGAAAAGCAGTTCCAAGGTCTTACAATTACAGTTCGAACTTGGTTTTAGAGTTGCTGTCTCTATGAATTTGACTGCAGTGTCGATTTTCAATCCAATAGAAACTGCAATAAAGGTGGCCAGGGTGGGGGAATATTGTATCTTTTAGAAACTGTGATAAAACTGTTATCAGAATTTTGAGATTTAGTCTAGCTACATCCTATTTTATCATTTTCACCATCCTTATTTCGTCCAAGAGTAAAAGGAGCTATATTGCATGTTGTTAGCTCTTTAGATCTGATCTTCTCTCACACTCGGGGTAAAGTGCATCTATTACTTTGCTCTTCCAAAAGATTCATTTGGTTACGAGTTTTCTTTGATTTGATATGCCATTAAGAATCCTATTGACATTCTCTCTCTAGTGGCAGAGCCACATGCAAGGTTAGGGGGTACTTGCCTCCACTTTCTGAATAGGTCTTGTATAAATTAAGTGTAAAAACAGCATAATTTTGTCTAATTTAACACATTGTCACCATTAATTTTGTGAAAATTTTTTATAATTGCCCTAGTTTTTTCTTTTTATTTGACATTGTAAAGTTTTATTCATATTTTGTCCCCCTCAAATAGAAAGAAACCTGGCTTTGCCACTGCCTCTCTCTCTCTCCCTCTCCAAATATATATACAAGGAAAGCTACTGCTGTAACATAACTGCAAGAATAATGAAGAGGACATTCCTGGAACTAGATCATTTTACTAAAATATAGAGACTTGGGCTAGAGGTTGGGTTTTATACTTTAATCCATGATTGTTATAAAGTTATGGTGCCTCCTTTTTTAGAGGTTTAATAAGTTCAGTGCACTATGATAGGAGATATTACAATCTGAAATATCACTTGGCAAATGATTTTTCATAATCCTTTTTGTTTCATTTTTGAAGTAGAAATTTGGATATATATTTGATTTCGCATGTGAGTCTCTTAATGTTGAAGAGGAGCAGGTAGATGTTGTCGCACAAGTGTTTGACATGGCAAATGTTAGCTGCAGAAGCATTCACAGATTATACTCTTATTCGAATTGACTTGTCATGGTCAAACCACCACTGGCAGAGAGAGAGAGAGAACCGGGGGGGGGGGGGGGG